AAATGAATATTTACATTACACAAATTTATCAATATCAGAGTCCAAAAACGGAAAATAAAATTCACCAAAATTTCGTGATTACAACAAACTAGAAAGAAACGCCATTTGTTCATCTTCTACAAATCCTTGTGAAGAACATTCACAAGCTTCTCATACGAATCTCTGTCCACAAGCTTTTTCTCTCGCAACATCTCCAATAGTCTGGTCGCTTCATCGTACTTCCCCTTCCTGCAACTCTCATAAACAAGTGTTTTATGTGTAATAAAATCAACCACACGCCCATTCTCAATCATCTCCCACACACATTTCTCCGCATCATCAATCTCACCGCTAAGCGCAAGAGCATTAGCCAGAGAGTTATAAGATTTGCCATTAGGAACAAAACCTTTTCCTTTCATCTCATCAAGCAACTCTCTAGCATTGATTGTCCTGCCTTGTGCACATAGCCCATGTATCAGGTAGTCATAAGTAAACGAATTAGGCTGGCAATTGTAAACCACACTCATCTGGTGAAATATCCTAAGAGCATCATTCACATGAAGCGAGAGCACAAACCCTTTAACCATACAGTTTAGAGCAAATACGTCTGGTTCAATCCCGTTATCCACCATTTGTCTAAACAAAGATCGTATTGTCTCCATGTACATGTGGCTTGTGTAAGAGTTGTTACCTCGACCCAACAAGGCTTTGAAGAGAATATGATATGTTCTAATGGTCGGTCTGCATTCCAAGTTTTTGCTAGTCGTCATGTGTCTGAATATATTCACCGCGCGTATTAATTTCCCCGCTTTGGTGAAATAGAAGATGATGGAATTGTAAAGATTTTCATTGCCGATGTGACGGACCGCGAGCACCTGGTTCACAATGTCATCCATTTCTTTGTACATTTTGGCAGCTCCGAGCTTCCTAATGGCGACGTGGTACGAAGAATTCTCGTGTTTGAATCTAGGTTGCTGGGATGCCCAGTTAAAGAGGTGAAAGCACAGTAATGGGTCTTCTTCAAGGGTTATAGCATCGGCGAGTTCTTCAGGGGTGAATCTCGGTGGGAGATTTGAAATCGTTTCTTGAAACTTGGACTCATCAAGAACAGGTTTTGTACTCAATTGCTTTCTCTTGCTGATTCTCCTTCTAAGTGAACGCGTTGGGATTGTGGTTGAGTATGACATATACATAGAAACAGATGCGGATCGACCTACACTTCGATTCAAAAGAAAGGTTCCCATTGAAGCAAGGACACCAAAAAATCGTTGATGGATGTTCAGTTCTTGCCTCAGAAACCTATTGATTCGATCAAAATTGGAACTTTGAGTGAAAGTAAGATGCAACACACAGAAGAGAGACCAATTTTTTGTTGAATTCGGAGGTAAGACGGCGAATTACCTTGAAGCAGAACCTTGGATTCGAAAAGAAGACAGAGTGAAATTAGGGTTTGGGAGAGAGAGTCTGGTGGTGAAGAGAAACGCAGACCTGGAGGCGATGCTTGTTGCAGCCATTTCACCGATTCTGCAAAACCACGGTACTCTCCAAGCCAAGGGAATGAATAAACACCGGTTCATTGAAATTGTAAAACAAACCAGGATTCTTCGGTTCATTAACCCAAGCGAACAATCTTTTAAGACTTTGTTAATCTTTTAATATATTAATGTTTTCACAGTTTGATATATATAAAGAGATGTTAAAAAAAAACAAAAAAACTGCAAAAAAATTATTGGCTAAAAAGTAGTATTTTTCTTTGATATTCGTATAGTTGTCCACTTTTTTTAAGAAATCGATTTTTAATTACAAACACAAAACTACAATTTAATATGATTTCAATATATGCTAATCTACACTATTTTAAGAGTGAATAAAATTTTACACGCACAACAAAAATTCTCGCACTTTGTCCAGATGAGAATCTAGTTGAATATTAATTAGAAAATTTTAAATTGTTGATATATTTTGTAATTATATTATCCAAATATTAATTTTTAACTTCTTATATTTATTTTGATTTTACCTAAAGTTTTTCTGTTTTTATAATAAAAATTAATTTTTATTTTTTTAATTATCCAACTGTAAATACTACCATCCGCAAACGTTTAAAAAAAAGAGCTTTTGATATTCAGAGGTTTGAAACGACACGAACCGGTATAAAATATGTTCCATGATTGTTGTCAAACGTTAATAACCGCTACCACCTGTAAACGCAGCGTTAGCGGGTGGTAGCGGAGAACCAATCAACCCCTTAGTGATATGTCCTTTTGAAAAAAAATGTTTTGAAAAAATTAAATGGTAGATGATTAGCGGATTTGTACTACTACCATCATTACATTTTCACTAGGATCCAAATTCGTGGAATGCATTGTTGTTGGAAAAATTGAAAGTCTGATTCATGAGAGAATATGCAAATATTTGAATGAATTTTTATTTATTTTAGTGCCTAAAACAGATGACCATAGAACTTACAGATGACCATAGAACTTTCATTGTGTTTTACAATTTATTTTGACAACGTAATATGGAATCATCCCAATTTTAATGCTAAAATGAGAATATACTAGATTTATATCTTTTTTTTGTCTAATATACTAGATTTATACCTATCGTAACGAAAATACAGTTCTATTTATATAGATATAAATATATTTTTTTTTGTTTAAGAGATAAATTTATATAAACATTTTTGTTGGTAATCGAACCGAACCGTAAACTGAACGGGTACCCAAACATAAATTAATCTAAAGATATTTAGATTTAAGATCGGGTATGTTCATATAGTTTATGCAATTTTTTGTTTTTGGTCAATTTGGGTATTGTGGATATATTTGGGTAAAAATAAACAATTTAATTAGGTATAAATTTTACAATTTTTTTTGTTATTTTTCAGATAACTCGAGTTCAAAGTAATAAAATCGAACCAATTCCAAAAAAATCGGATAATTATGAA